AGAGAGAGCGGTCAGCAAGCAGCGAGAGTGAGAAGCGTCTGTAGCCGCTTGTTAGCCAAGCTACAGGGAAAGTGAAGCTCTGCGAGCCGCAGCCGCTCGTTTCTTTAGGCGCGAAATTCAAACGGCTGCCATTTGAATTCCGCCCTAGAAGTACAGCGCGGTGCTGTATTACAAAGTCACTGACGCCCACGCAGGCGCGAATTTCAAAACGCTGCCAACGACCGTTGCAGCCTAACCTCGTGTTAACCCAGAGAGAGAGAGAGAGTTGTGAAAAGCCTCTCCAGAGCTGAAGTCACTTGCCTGCCACAGGCACAAAAACCTTCCTGCTGCTGCCCCAGAGAGATTTTCTCAACAGATTATTCCAACCTGATTTTTTTTTCATCATGAACTCCAACCCGGTTTTCCCAGCGTTCAAGCCGGATGAGGAGAAGTGGGAGTCATACAAGAATCGCTTTAACCATTACATCGACGCAATTGGGTTGGCTGATGCAGGGGAGCACCGGAAAAAATCATATTTCCTGATCTACTGTGGAGCCATCATCTTTGATACTGCCACAGCACTCGTGGCTCCACGTGAGTTAAAAAACATTCCCTGGACAGAACTGTTAGAAATCCTTACTAACCACTATTCTCCTAGATCCTCACAGATTGCCAGGCGGTTCACTTTCCGAATGAGGAAGCAATCAGACAAAGAGACCATCAACCAGTACATGGCTGCCCTCAGAACTGCAGCTCTCCATTGTGGGTTTGGGACCTACCTGGAGGACATGCTCCTCGACCAGCTAGTCTGTGGAGTCAAGGACCTTCACCTCCAAAGGCGCCTACTCACTAAGAAGGATCTCAACCTCGCGCAAGCCGTCGAGGAAGCCCTGGCAGCAGAGCTGGCAGCACACTCAGCCACCTAAATCCAAGGTCCTGCTTCCAAGCAAAGTGCAGTTTCAGTCCACTCTGAAGAGGTGGTCATCGAAGAGGACCCCAGCGATGCAGCCGACATCCTCCGCCTAGCCCACGCCAGACCCCCGCAGGTAGGAGCCAAGCAAGAAAGCGTCAGTCCACCCAAGCACATCACCCTGTGCCTATCATGTGGTGGATCTCACCTGAGGACCACCTGCAAATTCAAGGGAGCCACTTGCAACATTTGCCACAAAAAAGGGCACATCGCTAGAGTCTGCCAGGCCGCTCACAACTCAGCACAAAGGCACCCCTCCTTTTCACATTCGGGACCCCAAAGGCAAGTATTGAACTGTCGCACTCACCACCATGCTAAGCACGCTTGCCATGCCATTAGTAAAATTTCTCTCTCCGTTTTGTTAGAAGGTAGACCTTGTCGCATGGAGGTTGACACGGGGTCAGCGCTCTCAATTATCTCTTGGAGCACCATCAAGAGACTACAGCCCAATCTATCCAGAACCCGGCTCCAGAAGTGCCAGTTTAGCCTGAAGGACTACCAGGGGAAGGACATTCCTGTAATCGGCAGAGGCAAGCTTCTTGTCAATTTTAAAACTTTCAAAGGCCACCTACCTCTAGTGGTAGTTAACGGCAACCTACCCACACTCTTGGGGCTTGATTGGTTCCCCCATCTCGGCCTAGGGTTAACAGGAGTCCATGCTGTCTCAACCTCAGACACTGACTCCTTATTCGCTGACTACTCAGACGTATTCAGCAATGAACTGGAGTGTTATAACGGTACCCCTATCTCATTCTCAGTCGAACCCCAAGCAGTCCCAATCAGGCTAAAACCTCGTAGAGTCCCATTCGCTATTCGGCCTAAATTAGATGCGGAACTGGATAAATTATTAAAACAAGGGGTCATTGAGCCAACAGATTTCGCCAAATGGGAGACGCCCATTGTCACACCCCTCAAAAAAGATGGTAGCCTGAGAATTTGTTCGGACTACAAAACCACAATTAATAAATTTTTACAAGTTAGCGCTTACCCAGTGCCCGTCATTCAGCACTTATTACACACTTTTGAACCTGGCAGCATTTTTGCCAAATTGGACATGTCTCAAGCGTATCAACAGTTCCCTGTTGACAACCAAACAGCGGAACTCCAGACCATCGTCACCCACAGGGGTGCTTTCCGGTGCAAGCGTCTCCAATTTGGCGTAAGTGTTGCCCCGGGCATTTTTCAATCCCTCATGGAGCGGATTTTGCAGGGCCTCCCTGGTGTAGTACCCTACTTCGACGACATCTTAGTCTCGGCCAGGGACAGACCCCAACTCTTCCAGAGAGTTCGAGCAGTGTTAGAGAGGTTCAGACAGCATGGCCTCAAATTAAAAAAAGAAAAATGTGCCATTGCCACTAGACAGGTGGACTTTCTGGGTTATAAAATTGACGCCTCAGGCATTCACCCCCTGGAGTCCAAGGTTAAGGCAATTCACGAGGCACCCACTCCAACCTCCAAAGCGGAACTACAGGCCTTCTTGGGGCTCTTGAATTTTTACGCATCGTTCCTGCCCCATAAAGCATCTGTGGCGGAACCCCTGCACAGACTTGGATAAAAAATCGGCTTGGCATTGGGGTCACAAGGAAGACTCCGCTTTTCGTGCAGTCAAATCACTACTCACGTCGGAGGCGGTCCTTATTCAGTTTGACCCCAACCTTCCATTAGTGCTAGCAGCGGACGCATCCCCTTTTGGAATTGGGACAGTGTTAAGCCACAGGCTCCCCAATGGCTCCGAGGCCCCCATCGCTTTTTTTTCCAGGACGCTCTCTGCAACAGAGCGCAACTATAGTCAAATCGATAAGGAAGCTTTAGCAGCTGTCGCAGCTGTGAAGAAATTCCATGAGTTTCTTTTTGGCCACTTTTTCGAGCTGGTCACGGATCATAAGCCTCTCCTGGGCCTACTAGCAGGTGACAAACAGACCCCTCAAGTCCTGTCGCCTAGAATGACGAGGTGGACTCTTTTCCTAGCAGCATACTCGTATAGACTCATACACCGTCCAGGTAAAACATTGTCTCACGCAGACGCCCTCAGCCGCTGCCCCCTACCTGCTCCAGCTGAGGACCCGGCCCCGGTCCACGCTATCTTTGAGGTCACCCAAATGGACCTCCCCATCACTGCCCTTGACATTGCAGCCAAATCCAAGGCAGACAAGACGATCGCCCAGGTACTGGACTGGGTGAGGAGGGGGTGGCCGGGCAGTGATGTTGAAACCAAATTCACGCCTTTTAAGACCCGCCTACAGGAGTTATCCAGTTTGCAGGGCTGTTTGCTGTGGGGCACACGAGTGGTCATCCCGACCTCGCTGCGTACCAGAGTTTTGGAGGCATTGCACGAGGGCCACCCTGGCATCGTCAGAATGAAGGCATTAGCACGCAGCTACATATGGTGGCCCGGCCTCGACGATGACATCAGCAGATGGGTAAGCTCCTGCCATCCCTGCCAGGAATCCCGTCCATCCCCTCCAATTGCCACCCCCACCAAGTGGGAAAGCGCCAGCGCACCCTGGTCCAGGATTCACATCGACCTAGCAGGCCCGACACACGGCAAAATGTTCCTGGTGGTCGTGGACTCTTACTCTAAATGGATTGACGTGGCACAACTGTCCACAACCACCACGCAAGCGGTCACCAAGGTATTAACTCGCCTATTCGTAACGCACAGGCTACCTGACTCAATTGTTTCCGACAATGGCCCCCAGTTCGCATAGGCTGAGTTCAGTCGCTTCGCTGCCAATCTGGGCATCCGCCACATCTTCACGGCCCCCTTTCATCCTGCCAGTAATGGGTTGGCAGAAAGAGCCATTAGGACCACTAAAGAGGCTCTGGCTAGGTTCAGCAAGGATGACTGGCACCACAAACTCTCCCGTTTCTTGCTGAGCCAGCACTCAACCCCGTGCACAGTCACTAATAAGTCCCCGGCTGAACTCCTGATGGGTAGACGCCTGCGGACTGTATTGGACAGGCTGCACCCACATTACTGCCCTGACGTTCCCCTCGCTTCCACATCGGGGGTTAGGCATTTTGTCTTACAGGAACCCGTGTTCGCGAGGAACTTCGCTGGAGACCCTCTGTGGATCCCGGGCGAGGTCGTGGCCATCACCGGACCCAGGTCGTATAGAGTCAGACTGGAGGATGGCCGGATCTGGAGGAGGCACCTGGATCAGCTGCGGAAGCGCCAAGACACGCACATTAGCAGTGACTCATGGTTGCAGACCGGTGCAGGGCTACAGCATCAACCCCACATCAGCACCAATTCCAGGGACCAGCTCACGCCTGCAGCCGAGTCGGGGACCCCGAATATGACCCGTGACCACCTGATGGCTGACCAGTCCGAACCAGCCAACGGAAACACTTCCTCAACGATCAGCCCTACAAGCCCCGATCCGGCACTGACCGAGGAACGCGCTCGTGACACCACACCGGTCCAACCTTCAGTTGCAGACTCCAATCTACCAGACAATTCCCCAGAGTTGCGCCATTCTGGGCGCCAGCACAAGCCTCCCGCGTACCTTAAAGACTATGCGTGTTCGCATCTGGGGGGAAGGGGTGTTATGTCCCTGGAACTTAAAGAAGTTCCCACCCAGGTCCGTTCGTGATACGGGGGCGGTTGCCCTCTCTCCCATTGGTTGGTTCTCCCCAGCAGCCAGCTATAAAAGCAGGCTGCGGGGTCCAACCAGTTGCTGATCGCTGCGAGCCAGTTCCAGGCTTGGCAAGCACGGTCAGTCCTTTATTATTCTAATAAAGTATTTGTTGCATCCATGCCCTGGTTCAGCCTCTCATTTCTCGAACTTAACAGATTTCTCTAATTTTTTCACCAGCAGTGACAAGGGAAAAGAGGTCAATCCTGAAAATCCTAACTTGTAAACACTGACTGGACTGATCACAGAAGTAGGAGAAGGAGCAACACAGGGAGGCCCAGAATGATGCCATGATCTATTATATTAAAAGTCACTGAGGCATCAAGGAGAATACCAAAGATCATCAATAGACAAAATCAATGGAGTCTCCCAACCTAAAACATAACTGAAAAAAATGCGAATAATTTACTTACGCCATGATCCTCTGAAGCCACAATATGACCATCTTCTCAACAAAAGTTGTTCTCTACCTTTATGATTTGTCCAATGACAGCTTCTCCAGGATGGGTGTAACACAACTTCCTTCAGTGAAGATTCAGACATCACCACATGGCTACTTCGGCAGTTCTAACTAAAAAGGAAGGGTAAAAATCTAAAGGACAGATAAACAAATTAACAATCCCAAAAGATTCTGTGCATTTCCAGGAGCTACAGGATTATATTTCTTCTACATAACAGGACAAGATTATTTCTCAGTCAGCACACAAGAACTCACCCAGTCGGAGTCTAACTCTGAGAAATCTGAGTGACATCTTACAAATACCTAAAATGTGGCTTTAAAGATATTCTCATATCTACGTGGGTTTGACTATATGTTATAAGAAATAGCTAGTTTTTTTTAAAAGATGTATAAGAAGAACAGCCTTTTGATGAAAAAAAAACTTAAAGTCCAATTATTAAAGTAAATTTTGGGGATACAACTTTGCTGCTTTTCCACCATAAAGCGTTGTTACTTTAGGAATTCTTTCAGCTCAGTGGCCATTCCATAATATGTTTAGCATAATGGTTAATTCAGAGATTTGTCAATGTTTTCCTCTACAAGTCTAAATAAAACTGTAATTCTCCTTGGATGAATTCCAAAAACTGTGTTTTCTCTACTGGAGGATTTTAAATGGAATTAAACTATTGAAATCAAACTTCCCTATCAAATCTGGATTTCCGTTATGTATTTTCCCTACTTTTGACGTAACACACTTCAAATAAAGCTTCTATTAACTAAGGCTGTAACCATGGATTAAATATTTATTCTCACATTATTAGACTGATAATATCAATTTCAAAGTTCAAATTTTAATAAGGTATTACAAAGCATGGAAAGAAACAAGCTAATCAAGCCAAGTTTCATATTTCCTCCCTTTGTATAAAATGATAATTGAATTTAAAGCTATGCTTTGTCTCTTTAATATCTGCTAAATATGGATGAATTACTGAATATATATTTATTCTCAGACTCATTTGAAGGCAAATATTTACAAGGCTTTTCTTTTGTAATCTGATTTTAATATCTCAACTGAAAATGATTCATAGCATATGACTTCAAATACCCTGTAGTTAAGAAGGCCAAAAATTAATTAACTGATTCTACCGTAGGTTTCTTGAAATTAATGGTGCCGTTTGTTTTATTATTTTAAATTATTGTTCCTTTCATTACATTTCAATGCCTTATATCCAAATTGTCCTAACTTTTAATATCATTCTTATTTTAGTAACGTAATGCTGAGCTTCCTGTTTTTCTGCACACATTCTAGCCTTCTAATTTAGAAAGAAAACTATGACATGTCTTGAGATCCATTTTAAAGACTTTGCCAGAATACCACAAAATGAATGTTAAGTGTAGCAGGACAGAGCAACCCATTTTCTGGGAGTCTCCCCCCCACCAAAAAAAAAGGACTTGTACAATATATGATTGCCCTACCTGGGGCACAAAAACCATTGAATCAATAGATGACAGCAAAGGATCAATTTTTTGTTATCTAGTGGAATTTTTCCCTTTTTCAGATCATGGTCATACTTGAGGTTTGCCCTTGCTGTGCTGCACCACAATGGTGATATTCTGTAACAACTAGAGTTGCAGCTCTTGGCAGAATCAAACTCAAGTATCTAATAGTCCACTTGCAAACCAAGAAAGTTTTTGTCTTTTTCTCCTTCCCCTTGTATCTCACACCCCCTATTCCCTTCTCCCCTTCCTTCCTTTAATTTCCCATTTCTTTCTTCTCTTCTTTGTATTTTATATAATAAAACAAAACCTTAATAAAAGGGAAGCAAAGCAAGAAAGTTGTAGGGCATACAGGAATGATAGCATTCACTCCAGCAAAGTAGTGACTCAACTTCATCTCAAGCTTTGTCTTTGACCTGGTCATGCTTCTCTTTCTTCAGGGCATGCCAGCTGCAGAAAGATCCACCTGATGATTCAAGGCTTTATGATTGTTCTGCAAACAGATGAAGTTGTGTCTCACTGTCTAGTTTGATAGATATCCACATCTCACCAAGGACAGCCTTCAGCATCTACAAGTGGCTTGCTGTCATTCCAATATCATTTTGATCTTACAGGCATTTTACCTGCCCATTCACTTCTCAACATGGACTATGAAGTCTACACTAAATTATTAACTGTTTATAAGTGATTATAGATCACATTATTCATATTATTCAAGCTGGATTTATTCCAAATTATTAATAAATTTACCCCTTATTAGGAAATTCTTACATATTACACAAATAAACAAAATTATTAGATCTTCATTAGCCATATGTTCTTTGGATATATTTAAAGCCTTTGACTCTACCAAAGTACAATTTTTAAAACAAATAACTAATTAAATTTTAATTTGGCACTGATTTCTATAAGATGATTTAATACATCTACAGACCAACTAAATCTCAGAGAAATCTTAAGTTATGATTCAGTTCCCATTACATTTTTAAGAAATACTAAGCAAATTTGTCCTGTATCACCATTATTATCCAACCTGACTTTAGAAGCATAACAGTATAAAAGGGGAAATAAGATGTATCTTTTGTATCTACTTGTAGGTTATATGATCTTGAATCCTTCAAATGCTTCTCATTCAGCTAGGGTTAGAAAAATTTGCAGAGCTGACATGACTATCAGTTAATTTTCATAAATCATATTGAGATTTTTTCATAAACCGCAAAAAAACACAAAAGGAAATTTTCATAGTTTTAGAGGTTCTAACAGAATCGTTAAAATATTAAGCGATGACTGTAACTCAAAATATTAATAAAACCTTTGCAAATGATTATGTAACAACTTGGGAGAAACTAAACAAAGAGATCGTCAAAACATTTCAATATTTTAGGGAAAATCACAATGGCTAAAATGAACATCCTTGCACAGCTTAAATTTTTTATTTCAATGCCTCCCAATGTTAAATCCAGAATAGGTTTTAAGATATTGGCAGAGAAAAATTGAAAGCTTTTGTTTCCGTGCACAAAAACTGAGAGTAAATAAAAGGATTTTATATGGATCTCAGAAGCAGGAAGATTGGAACAGGCCCAAGTTGTTAATATATTACCAAGCAGCATAGTTAGGGCATATGATTCCATTTATTAGGGTAGACTCTTAAAACAATGTATTCATACTGAAACTATATTAGAGCCAGATAAGTTTATAAATCAATGTTTCTTTTCACCGAAAATATTTTTCTAAAATGAAACAGATTGAAATTGTTTTTACTACTAAAACAATACTTCAGATTTGGAAAAGAAGTTGCAGAGTTTTCATAAAGGATATTTCTCCTTTAACAAATATATGTCAAGAAGGTTATTATAGTTTGACTAAAACAAAATCTTTGGAAAATTTAATCTTTGTAGACTAAAATATTTCTATAGTAATAGGGAACTTTTCAATAAACATAAGATTGATGATGAAATATATACCATAGCTCTTCTAGTACCAACTTAAATTTATTTTGGGTAGTAGAAATATTAGAGATTTAGCAACATGACCCTATATCAATTTTCACAATTTAACACTTCATTATTTAGAACAACCAAAAGGAACAATTTCAAAAATGTACAGGTTATTATTGCAATTAGAAAATTATACAGTCAGAAATATTATTGATAGAGATGTTATTGATAATATTATTATAGATCCACCAATTGATTTAACAGAAGCTTGGAGTACTGATCTTGGTAATGCTGTACAGGAGACAAATTGGCAAAAGTGATGCTATTTCTGATAGATGGATGTCCAGTCTTTTCTTGAAAGCCTCCACTGTTGTGGCACTCACAATTTCTGAAACCAATTTGTTCCACTGGTTAATTGTTCTCACTATTAGGAATTTTTTCTCTCCTTGGTTAGTTTCCACCCACCACCCAGGGGTGAGATTCTACCAGTTCAGCCTGGTTCTATAGAACCAGTAGTTCTGAAGAGCAGCTGACCCCAAACCAGTTCGCTGGGACGACTGTTTGGTCATCGGTTTGGCTCACCTGCCCTTCTCTAGACTGTCCTTTATCCTATGCTTTTACTTCCTTAGCTGCTTTGTGCAGCACAGCTGAATGCCGCTCATCAGCTAGAAAAGGTAAATGCTCACCTGAGCCGGTAGTGCGCACACACATGCAGTGTGTGTTTGGTGCACATGTGCGCATTCCCCGAACCGGTTGTTATGCCAGTAGGATCTCAGCCCTGAATCCATCATTTCTTGTCGTGCCTAGAGGTGCTTTGGTAAATAGTTGTCCCCCTCTTCTTTGTGGCAGCCCTTCAAATATAGGAAGATGCTATCATATCATGCATCCCGGTTCTTCTTTTCACTAGACTAGGTATGCTAAATTCCTGCAGTCGTTCTTCATATGTTTTAGCTTCTTCTTAGCTTCCCCCAATTATTTTTGTTTCTCTTATAGATAAAGAATGGGTTTTGGGATGAAAAGATTATTTGTTGTATTTTAAGATAAGGTTATAAATTAGGAAAATTATTTATATTTGTGATGATATGGAAGGCCATTTCTTCATAAATTTATTTCCTTTCCTTTCCTTTACTAATTATTATTCCTATTTTCTTTGCTATTTTTTTATTTTTTATTTTTATTTTTATTTTGTACCAAATTTTTATATTTATTGTAATTTTTAATAAAATTACTATAAACAGCTGCATATACTGCTGAACTAATAATAAAATCTGGATACCAACATAGCTTCTACTTGTTTCACTAAGGCATCAAGAAGGGCCATATGCTGTTCAAAGTTAATTTGGATTAAGGAACTGAAGAAGCTTCTTGGATGAGAAGTGAAACATCTTCAAGAAAAAAACAAAGTGCAGCTGCCTTTTGAAAAAGCACCTTTGGAACAACCATGACTGGAATGACTGAGAATCTCCACAAACATTTGGATTCAGGAAACATCAAGTGAGGGCTATTTGAAAAGCGTCAGCTTTTTAAATAAGATTATTCACATGAGCTCTTAACTGACATAAAAATGTAGAAATAACGGGACATGTTTTTTAAACCATTCCTTTGTATTACTCCCCATGTTATTTTTCTTTCAAAAGAATAATAGTAATAACAGTAATATCCATAGTGACTCTGTCTACCAGCAATGCTCAGGAAATGTATTGGCAAAGAGATGCCATTTCGTCAGTCTCTACTGCCATCTGGTGGCATAATTCTAGAGATGCACACTGTGGATCCCTGCTGCTCAACTCAGCAAGGGGCTGCAGAGTGCAAAATGAAGAGTCTCAAGCAATCAAGCATATTGATTCCCTTTTCCCCCCTCCCAGATGGAGTCTGTTCCTTCCTCACATGGAAATTATACCTGCATGGGCATGATTAATACCTCATGTACAGATCTACCTTCTTCAGAAGCCATAATCATATTTTAGTCACATAGCTCTATGTGAAGTTCATAGGTCAAGGAAATAAGTCGGATACAGAGAAAGAAATCCATCTTGGATGAAAAATGGCTTTATGACAGCATTTGCTGTGCTTAACAGAGTATTCAACATTATAAAATTCTGGCTAAGGGCTGTCCAGTGGCTGCTGTTATCCTTGTTCCTGGTAGACAGCACTGGGTACGTGTTATATTTTTAATTGTTGAAAGCTACCTCAGGTGTTAGCAAAAACAGGTAGGGTATAAATTCAGTAACGAAGTAACAGGAAATAAAAATAGAACCATGTTTATGGCAAGGTTTACCTCTAACCCTGCAGAAGTGATTGACCTACAATTCTGGAATGATATTCCAGGAGTTACTCCAGAAACACAAGACATCTCCATAGCAAGATCACAGTTATAGAAACATGTAATGTAGCAGATCAGGAAGTCTGAGAGAGCACACCGATCTGATTGTTAGGCAGAAAATGAGTCCATAAAATCATACCTGACCTGCTGTATTCAGATCACGTGCAGGACTTACCTCCTTCTCAAACCACTTCTCTGGATTTCTACCCCTGTAGATCCATCTTCACATGCTTCCAGGTTGGAACTTCTCATACATTATCTTCCATAACGCTACTTGATTCTCAAGGTCACGTTTCTATTAACTTCTATCATTTCAATTTGGCTAACTTCAGTATTTTAGTAACTTTAGTATTCCTGTCATGTTAACTGCTTTGCTGCTGGACTGTTTTAAGTTCTTCTTAGCATCTTGGAGAGGCTGGAAGGTTGGCTATTTTTGCTCTTCTGTGCAGTTAATCCTAGATTAGAAAAGAATGTTTGGTGTCCTTTTGATAGCACATTCACTGGTGCGTAGGAAAGGACATTGCTCAAATGCTTTACCACTCCTGATGTAAAACCAAGTGGGAGGTGGGAGTAGCCTCTACTTTCTACATCTTCTTTATGGAGAGTGATGATTTTGGAAGTCAAATGAAAACTTATTTTAAAATAAACTACAACGATCAGCACATATTTTACAGGCAGCATGATAAATGTGTTGTCCTGTTTTTGTTGTGAGGAATTACAGCATGGAATGTGAGGAAACATTATCTGATCATGGTTTTAATGGAGGTCTTGAATGTTACAGAGCTTGGTGAAACTCTGATCAGAGAGAGGGATTATCAAGGAATAATTCTACAACCTATAGTCCTTTATGAAATTGTGATTCTGTCCACTAGTAATAATAGTTTTCCCTCAGAAGGCCAGTTGGATTTCTCCTGGAACCACAGCATCTCCAGACAGAAAAGAGACTAAGGCCTGCCTTTGCCTGGTTTCCAATACTTCTTATATTTCTTTGTACATGTTTTTCAAGTGATTTTAACATTTAAACTTATACCATTTGCTATTTTAAAATTTGTTTCTCAGCATCCATATGGTGCATTTATCTTTATTGCATTCTTAGTGTTGTTTGAGGTCATTGTTCTCCAAACAAACTTTTTCCATGCATTGGTGACATTACATAGCCTGTTAATGACACATATTCTCAAACAACCAAGCTCAGATAAAGCAAGAACCCAAAAATTCAATTCTGAGCTATATATATTCAGCACTATTAAATACATTAAAATAAATAAAACCAGATGTTTACAGAAGAAATGCAAACTGTCAGGTTGACAAAGGCTGATGACACTAATAAGGTCTGTTACAGCACAGATGGGTGGTCCTGTGAAATCTGATGACTGGACAAACAAAGAGGAGGATTGTTGTTGTTTTTAATGCACCTATGCCCAGGATCACGTCTTGCTATCAAACACTGAATTTAGAAGGGAAAAGGAAGAACCAAAACTGACATGGACAGAATTCACAAAAGCCAACAAGGAATTACACTGATTTATGTACATAAAGTCTTCGGTGTGGGGTAGTGGCCTAGAGGTGAAGATGTTCACTTCCCACTCAGAAGATTGAGAGTTCAATCCTAAGCAGTGACAAATGTTTCTCTATCAGGGTGCAAAGAGAAAATATCTGCTGCGAACTCCGTGTAGGCGTCAGGAAGGGCACTCAGCCAATAACGCTTAGCTCCAGTTGCCCCGACTCCATTCCAAAGGTCATAAAAAGAAGAAAAAAATGTACATAAAGCTTTCCCTTCTCCAAATTCTATGTGTGACTTTGAGAAATTGGTATCAAAAATTAACATCACTAAAATACACCCTCTTTATTCCTTATTACAATTTCCTTTGACTTCTACTTATGGCTCCTCTGCTTAGAATGTTTTACATTCAGGGTTCAGGAGAATTTCCATGCAATTAATATGCAAATATTATGGAAATAACAATATTGGGAAGAATGAGTCATTTCATTATTGTTTTTTTTTTTTTTTGAAGGAGGGGGGTTAGACGAATTGTGATTGCTATTAAGGTATAGTATTTTATATACTGATGCAGGAAAGCAAGTCTGTTAGGTAAAAAATATACATCAATATATTCCTAGTTAGAATGGATAATAACATCACAGTATCTAATATAATGTTCCAATTCAAAAGGTTTGTTAAGTGGTTGCAACCACTGATGCAATGGAAATGTGTCTGTCAACCTTTGTTTAATCCTTAGCATCTGGCAGTCAGTGATATCCAATACCCAAGATTTAATTCAAATGTCATAGAGCATAGCCACTAAGAGCCTATCGCCCATGAATTTGTATAATATGGCTTTTCCTGATGTTGAAGCCCGTCAGCCTTTCCAAAATGTGACATTTTCCAAATGTGACATACCACAACCTTCTAATTCCAAGGAAGGTAGACTGAGAGTTATAGTATTTCTATACATTTGGAGAATAATGAATCTGTATAATATATAGAAGCTATGTGTATATATCAGAGGTGGTATTCAGCAGGTTCTGACCAGTTCTGGAGAACCAGTTGCGGAAATTTTGAGTAGTTTGGACAACTGGCAAATGCTACCTCTGACTGGAAATTTTACAGTATCCTTCCCCTTCCACGCCTACCAAGCCACGCCCACAGAACCGATACTAAAAAAAATTGAATCCCACCACTGATAGATATATAGATATAGATATAACATAGCATTATGAAGCCAGTTTCATATTTTGAAAGAGTAATGTTCATTCTCATCTCCCCATCATTAATTTACTGAAGATCTCCGAACATATTGATTTTGTAAACCAGACTATGTCAGAACAGAGTGTTTGGAAACTGGAAAAAATTCTGTAAGTCGGTTTCAAATATCCTTGACAGGACATTTCATTCCCTTTAGCATTTAAAAAACAGTCTTTGTAGCTTATAAGCTCTTAAGCAAATGTAAGTGAGAGGGAAAGCTAACATGTCTGATAATTCACTCTATCTGACTGACAACTGTGCTGAATTTCCCCTGTGGTGCTAGCAAAACATTGTTACAAAAGTAATAACATACCAAGAAAGAAAGGATCATAAAGGATCATGCTGTCAGCTTTAATTCTGGAGAACAAAAACCAGTAAGATGGTTTCTGTTTAAATCAGTCCAATACAACTCAGGAACATGGGTGCCAAATGCTGAATGGAGTAATGTGATCTGAGCTTAAAATAGCTGCCAAGTATACCATGGAGAAATATGTTGCAGCGTGAATGATCTGTTCAGAAGTAAAGTCACTGAATTGCAAGAGGTGATGAATGGGAAAGATTTTCCCCACCTTCATCCATACCTGATGTCTTCTCATGTTACTCTCCCATGCCTTTTCAATGTTCATAAATATTGAAATTTCCATTTCTACATGGATTTCTTATGTCATGCTTATGGCAGGATCCTCCTCAGCTCAGTAAATTCCAGGTTTGGTCTTTAGCATTTTCAATTCAAAGGATTAGGTGATATGACTCACTGTTTGCATGAGGCTCTAGGAACATGCTGTCAATCAGAATAAATATTACTGAAGTAAATAGACAAATATATTACAGGAACAGAAGGAAAAAGCTAATAGTTTAAGAAAATATATGTTGAGAGTAGGGGTGTGTGGGTGGGCATCTACAAGTCAGTAATTAACTGCCTAAGGAAGGTGTCGTTTATACCAATATGCGTACTGTATATCCAAATAATTCTTATTATTATACTCTATAATGATCTGCCTTGTCAAAAAATCATCATCCAAAAAGCATGAAATTTCCCCTGAAAATGAGCAATAGGTAAACATTAATAGTAGTGATGATGCCTTGAGCAAAACGGAAAAACGGTTGGGATTTTCTTCACTGCTATGTAACTTATCTTGCTCACATTCGTTCTGACTAGTTATCTGTCACTTATTATTATTATTGCTTACTCTTAATGAAAAACTACAATTATAACACCACTTCACAGCTTCACTGTGAGGCACTACACAGCTTCTTTTTACTGTTATTATGCAATAAAATTTCAATCCACTTTACATTTAAAGCTTCACAAAGACACATTTTGATTAGAAAATGGACGTGGACTATCTTCTTATATTATAAGCTTTTAATTATGTATTAGAATATATTTGTTATAAGATGTTTCAGATTTCTTGGCTAACCAGTCACATAGCATGGCTTATATTTGCTTTTTTGTAATGCCCATATTTTTTAAGTTTATAAATATATTATCTATTTCTTGCATTCTTTGAAAAATATGCATTTAAAAGAAAATTCTTTTTTAAAAAAATAAAGCTTTATTATTATTTATATTTTACATTACTATAATCTCAACCTCCAAAATTATTATATACTTCTAGAACTACCTTTCAGATGCCTCATACAGAGAATTACCATTTTTTTATTGGGTCTTTCAATTTAGTTTATGGATTTCAGTGTTTAAGTTCATTGTATTCAGCTGTCAACCAGCTGGATGGGGAAGTGTTCCCATAGACCACATGTAGAAAATGATGGCCCCTTTATGGTTTGTGGACTTCAACTCGAAATCTACAAGTCATAAAAGGGCCATCATTCCCCACCTCTGCCATAAAATTTTTCCTAAGCCTGGCTCATACATAGTGCCCACAAAACCCATTCAAGAAAAAAATTGTTCAAGAAAAAAAAATGCCCATATATAAAACATTACATGAGAATGGTCATGTGTTTTACATGAACTCTATAAAAATGTTAGTGAAAAAAATACCAGCAGCCAGAGAATATGACTGAAATATCCTAAAGGGAACAAACAAATCAGAAGGAATGGTAAGTGTCAACTCTACGAAGCTGATCTGACTGGAGCCATCTTGGACCTTCAGTCCCGCCACACTGCAGTGAGGGTTAGGGAAGGAGGATTAGAGATAGCTGGGGCTGTGTAGTCAAAATAAAATACTTACTCTTGGGAACCTAGGACGTACTCACATCTGGCCGGGAGGAGGAGATGTCACCAGACCAGCGGATGCTGCCTTGATTGAGCCATGTTACTGATTGTTTGGGGTTGGGGGAAATCTTTTACTTTTAATTAGGTGAAAACCAAGGGGCCCCTCAGAGTTGTTTTGCACCAGATACGTGCCTATATGATATTTTCAATAAAGCTATTCTTTGAAGAATCCACCTGCCTCTAAGTTTTTGCTTGTAATGGATCTATTACTTGGAACCCTGACAGTAGGAAGATGTCTAGATAAGGCCACTTCCATCAAATTTATTGAATGAGTCAGAATAGTTTCCCAGTAAAAGCACCATCATCCCAAGGCAAATGGATCTGAAAACAATTGGAGATAAGGAAGTTTGGCTGTTTCCATAGCTGTATGGGAAACAGTCTGGAACATTTAACTAGTTTTGAGATCTATAGGTAGAATAAAGGCATTACAACCGGATTACTAAAATGCATACTCAAGCAAACAGCAAGCTTTA